GGAAGGAAGGAAGGAAGGAAGGAAGGAAGGAAGGAAGGAAGGAAGGAGGGAAGGAAGGAAGGAGGGAGGGAGGACTTTTAGAATTAACCCTGACTCTTGAAGACACGGTTTAGATCCTTAACAGAAGTTATGTCCTGAGGGATGTGTGTGTCTATTTGTGTGTATGTATGTGTGTATGAATCTGTGTGGGTGTGGGTGCCTCTATATATATATGGATATACCTCTGTGTGTCTTTGTGTCTATAAAGGGATGTCTGTGAGTGTGTACGTGCGTGTCTGTATGTGTCTATGTATTTGTGTATATATGTGTCTATATGTGTGTATATGTCCCTGTGTGTATGTATAAGTATCTGTGTGTATGTACATGTATATATGTGTGTCTCTGTGGGTATATGTGTGTACGTGTGTGTCTGTCCATTTGTCTTGGGTGTATGTGTACGTGTGTGTGTTCATTTGTCTCTGTATGTGCATGTGCATGTCTGTGTGTGTGTCTGTATATATGTGGGGGTAGGGGGCTAAGAAGGTTGTATGTGTGTCTGTGTGTGTGCCTGTGTGTCTGAGGAGGACACTAAAGTTGGGTCAGGCCCCTGCAGCCTAGCTGAGCTCACTGGCCCTTCCATCTCTTCCCTGAGAGGAAGAAGAGGGCTCTCCAAGGTCTCCAATTGTCCCTTGGGTCTCCCCATAGGGCACATTCTATGAAAATGCCATTGAGCGGCTGAAGGAAGATTTAAACGCATCCCAAGTGTCCCAAGACCAAATCCTGTCCACCATTCATCTCAAAAAACAGGAAATCCAGGATTCGGAGAGAGAAAGGAAGTTACTCTGTGAGAGGCTGAAGGAGCTGCGGAGAGAGGTTTGGCCCCTCACCATCGTCTGCTGTGGGAAGAGGCTAGCCTTTCCCTCACTGCATTCTGAACCTTTCCTTTGCACCCGGGCTGAGGGAGAAACTGCTTTTGGCCTTATCCGCTCTTGCTTCCATCTCTCCTTCTCTGGGCTGTCTGAGCTGTGCCTTCCTGCCTTTCTCCTCTCTCCCTCTCCTTCTTTCTTTTCTTTTGGGCTGAGATTTTATTTCATGATTGAAACCGGGCTCTTCCTTATGGTCAACTTTTTAAACAGGAAGACTGTGGGCCCTCCTAATCAAATGCTCTTCCACCACGTCTATCGTTCATTGTCTGTTGACTTAGGGTTCAACAGGGGCTGTACAATCCCAATGCACAGCATTAGGGAAGGGAAGAATCATTAGGTAACGCCATTAAGTATTGCAGTAGGGTTTTTAAAGACATCCAGGCAGCCATGTAGAGAATAGGCCTTACATCCATTTAGGGTTCCAAGTCTGAAGACAGACCGGTATTTCTAAGTTAGAGACCCTGTGTGGGGATCATCAAGTCATTCCCTCTGACCCTTGGGATGAGGAATAAGTGTGACAGAAGGGCAGGGAATCTGTCTGGTTTTTCTCCCCTGTAGCTACGCCAAAGGAATTTGAATCACTCAAAGAAGACTACTCAGGAAAGAAGGCGAGCTGAACCAGCTGCCCAAACAGCTCCGACAGTCTCCAAATGTGCTTCAGTACGCCATGTAAGAGAAAGAGAACTACCAGGAGGAGAGAAACTGTCAGAGAGATTCTGGAATGGAGTCAGTGATCCTGGTGGAGGCGAACATGCTACAGGTAAAGCCTCTAAGTATAACACAGCAAGAAGGGAAGGAGAATCTTAAGAAAAGGTGAGACCATCAGAGGTCATAGAAGGAGGCACTTTCTTTAATGGGTGTTGGTTGGATTCTACCCAGGATATTGGAGAGATTAGGACCTGCTAGGAACCTCCCCTCCTGTGTAAGCGTGTTAGGGCAATGTAATCAGAATACAGTGGAAAGAACCAGAAGTCTTGGGTTTGAATTCTAAAACTTATGTGATCTTAGACAAATCACATGACCTCTCCAGGCCTCAGTTCCCTCGTCTGTAAAATGTCTGGCTGGCCTCTGAGATCACTTACAGCTCTAGGCCTGTAGTCTCTATTATTTCTACAGAGAGATGGGCTAGGTGGCACAGTGGATAGAGCGCTGGGCCAGGAGTCAGGAAAACCTTAGTTCAAATTAAACCTTAGACACTTACTAGCTGTGTGACCCTGGGCAAGTCACTTAACCTCTGTCTGCCTGAGTCTTCTCAACTGTGAAATGAGGATAATAATATCACCTACCTCCAAGTTGTTGTGAGGATCAAATGTGGTAATATTTGTAAAGCACTTAGCATAGTGCCTTACACATAGTGGATGCTATATAAACGCTGTTATTATTATTATGACAGCTAGGCGGATCAATGGATAGAGCATTGGACCCGGAGTCAGAGGGACCTGAGTTCAAATCTGGCCTCAGATACTTACTGGCTGTGTGACCTTGGGCAAGTCACTTAACCTCTGTTTGCCTTAATCTACTGGAGAAAGAAATGGCAAACCACTCCAATATCTTTACCAAGAAAAGTCCATGGTCAGTATGGTCCATAGGGTCGTGAAAAGTCAAACGCAACTCAACAACAACAACAACATAAGTGTTAGTATTTCTTGCCAAGTAAGAGGACAACTCAGACTATAGAAAAGAGCTTGGAGGAAATCTTGAGCATACATCTCTAGCATATGCCTCCTACCTGTAGAATGGACATCTAGTTGATGCAGTAGATGTATCCCTATGGAAAAAGAGGACTCACCTAAGCAATGATGAGAGTACTTCCTAAGGCATTATACTATCCTCACCAAGTCTCACCAAGAAAGTTTCCAATCCATGGTCTGGTTTTCTATGATCAGACCATGGATCACAGATAGGAAATGGTGACTCCAGTGCACCTCCTATCAGTTTTCCACAAAGATTCTTTCATAGGCAGCTTTGAGCAGTCAGGACTCAGAATGAATCCAAGAATGGCAGAGCAGGAAGGGACAACAGAGGTCTCACCCTGTCATTTTACAAAAGAGGAAATTAAGGTTCAAAGAGAAGTGAACACTTCTAGTTAGTAGCAGTCAAGACCAGAATCTAGGTGTCTTGACTATTCTGCCTCCTAGAAGACATCCTGGTCTACACCTTCTGTTTGCTGAGCATAGCAAATCCTAAGCTCATCCCTATGATGGCTTCCCAAGCACTGTCCTTGGAACCCTAGTGCCATCTTGACAAGTGAAAGGTAGAGAATGCTCAAGGTACATTAGGCCAGGGCTAACTTGGAAGGGCATTAGACATCACTGTATTGCTAACTAGATTTTTTAAACATTTTAGCTAAGATCGTATGGGAGTTTTTCCCCTTGGGGCACGGCTGTCACAAAGTGAAGAACATGTAAAGAAGCTGATGGATGTAAGAAAACTACTATCCGCGTACATTGGGCGGGCACCAGAGATGAACCACGAAAAAGAGAAGGGAAGGCCTCAGATTGCCTGGGAAGAAGTAAGTCAAAAAACTCTGAGAAGAGACAGATTGACTTGTTTAATGGGAGTACAAGGAGCCGACATTGCCACAGTTGAGAAAACTGTATGAAGTTCCCTCCTTCATAGAATCATGAGCATGCTATATATTCCAGGGGAATGATATGGAGATGAGTTGGATCTGTTGATCAATTATTTTAATCTTCCTGCAAAAACCATGCTACAGCTATACAAAAATGATTACTTTTAGTCTTATTGCCAATAGCTTCTCAAATATTTATCACAAAACCAAATGCTGCCTTCATAAAGCCCTTCTGTCTTGTCTACTCCTGTTGAGAATTAACACGATTCTCACTTCTGTTGCTGCCAAGAGTGGGATCAATTTTCTCAGCTGTAAAATGGGAATGGTAATAGCACCTCACTCTCAGGATTGTTGTGAAGATCAGAGGAGATAAGATTTGTAAAGCACTTAGCACAGGTCTTGGAACATAGTGGATGCTTTATAAATGCTAGCTATTGTTATTTTTATTATTACTGAAGTAACTTTGCCAGTTGCCCTCAGTATCTTTAGTGGGAAGGGGCATTGGCACTCCATGACTTTGTGAATTTGTGAATTCTGTCACTCTAAACGCACTTTTGCAACCCAAACTGCAAACTTGTTGTATGGAGGAGAATATTATAATATGGAGAAGAGCTCTTTCATCCTTACTTTAGAACAAAGAACCTACACAGGATGTAGTCATCTAAGAAAACTGAAGATTTAATTTTAGAATGAGCCTCTAAAAAATACAGGCTTTGCCTTGAGAAAAGTATAATTTTCACCATGATGACTCTTTCATCCCCTAGGATTCTTTCTCACCTCGAGTAATGGAAATTTCTCCTCCTGAAATATCTCAGGTTCATAGATTCCTAGAACGTGGGAGGTGGAAAAGGCTGAAGTTAATGTCTGGTCTGCTTCACTCAGTTTACAGATGAGTTTACAGTTCACAGATGAGAGAAGTAAGCCCACAGACGGGAGATAATTTGCCAGCTAGTTATTGGCTGAGCAGGGTTTGAAATCTAGGTCTCTTCACTCCTATCCAAATTCTTCTTCCATGCCACTGTACTTATCTCTCATCTAGCCTTTGGCCTAGCCTTTGAGCAGGCAAAAGTTACCCTGCCATCCCATAATGCATCTGCTTCTCATGATGGGAAAACAATGCTGCTGATCAGAACCCAACCTGAGGAAACATTCTAAATTCCAGCTATTTAGCTCAGAATCACCAACATTCTTTACCCCTCTCAGTCTATGTGAGAGTGTGGGTGATGGGAGGGTTTGTTTTTTTCACAGGGAGAATATTCTATTAGGTCTCACTTCTGGAACTGATCTCATTGGTAAGTATCTGGTGGAAATTTTATCTGGTCTCAGAAACTGTAAATGTAATTTGTAGGGAGACAGTACTACATAGCAGAAAGAGCACTGGTGTTAGGGTCCAAATATCTATCTATGTTCTAGTTTCATCACGGGCCCTTACCAAGGGTGTGACCTTGAGCAAACTATTGAATCTGTCTGAGACCTGATATTCTCATCCTCAAACTGGATGTAATAATAATTGAATAATTTACCCCAGAAGATAAAGAGGAGCAAATGAGATAATTTGCATTAAGCACTTTGTAAAAGGTTTGAGAGTGGGGTGCTTGGTGTGACCCATAAACACAAAGATTCACTGGCAGCTGGTGCTATGAAAAGCATAAATAGATGGATAGATAAGTATACTGATAAATTCAGAAGGTGTTTCCAAACCCCGTTCTTGAAACCTAGATCCAGATGAGAGAATGAAAGCCTCAAAGTCCTTGATGGACAATTTATCTGTAATTTTCTTATCTCAAATCGTGTGCTTTTTTCAGGTACATGACAAGACTCAGAACATGATTAAAATAAAAGGAGAGTTACAGACCACCAAAGAAGACATAAGGCTAGTGACGAATACGGTAAGGATCTAAAGATATGGCCTCATTTCGTTTTGAGCCTTTTCTTCATAATTCAACAATCTCAATCACAAGTATATAATAAATAAAATCACAAGTCTATAGTAAATGCTCTCTGGTCTATCATAGTTGGGAAGTATCTCAAGTATAGTAAATGCTCTTCTTGTTCATCATGGTTGAGAAGTAAAATGTTTGGATTAATCAACTATTGGAGTCAAGAGGGAGTGAATCATATATACTATTTATGTGACACCAGACCACCATATGCCAGGGGTTTATATCCTTTTTAAAGGGGTAGATAATTCCATCTTCTTTTTGTCCTATTGGGGATAAAGGTTGATTGCTACTGACTCTCAGTGTTTGGGATGGAAAGGGTGTTGGATGGGGAGATGGGGAAGTAGAGATTAGTTGGCCACTAACGGAATGATACTATTAATTTGTAACCTGGGAAGGGAGTGAGCATGTTCTGACTTCCCAGAGCTGGAAGGGAACATGAGCTGGCCACCAGTTCTTTCATTTGGCATTGGGTTTGTAGGTTTATAAACTGTTAAGGAGTCAGGACATAAGAGGCAACTGCTCTGTGTGCCACTGGAAATCGACCATATTGCCTATATCATGTACTGTATGTACATGTATTCCATCTGTGAATTGCCAATGTACAAATCATTTAGAACAGTAGCGTCAACCTCAAATAGAAATGGGGAGCACCAAAGCGTACATACTGACTTGGAAAACATGTTAACCTTACCTATGTTTTTATTTATTTATATTTATTTATTATATTTATTTATATTTTATTTATTTAATTATTTCCCAAATTCATTTTAACCTGATTTGGATCTCACTCAGAAGTGTTACAGGCAGCTAACTGGATCAGTGGATGGAGAGCCAGGCCAGAATGTTGGAAAAACTCATCCTCCTGAGTTCCAATCTGGCCTCAGATACTTCCTGGCTGTGTGACCCTGGCCAAGTCACTTAACCCTGTTCGCCTTAGTTTCCTCATCTGGCAAATGAGCTAGAGAAGGAAATGGCAAAGCCCTCCAGTATCTCCGCCAAGAAAACCCCAAATGGGGTCATGAAGAGTCAGACACAAGTAAAATGACTGAACAATAACAGTGGTCAGTTTATTGGTTGGTTGGTTGTTGTCCTTCATTGTAAAAGAGGGCCAAAATGGCATCACTACGTTGGAGTCAAGGTACAATGTGTCAGACCATGGCTGAATAGTATGGACCCCATGCGGCCTGTAGGCCACATGTTGGAGACCTCTGTATTCTAAATTTTAGAATACGATCAAATATACTAAATACCAAAAACACACTGAACCTAACTCAATCCTTCTCTGATGATTCAGAAGGCCCTTTATGATCTGACAGTGCCTTGAGGTCATCATTATGAGGAACAGGGTATCACCAATGCACCTAGAAGTGCTGGTTATAGGGCTTTCTAGCTGACAGAACATAAGCAAACCCAACTTTTACTGCTTATTGACACTATAGTATCAGAGTCAGCCCTCAATTATTCTCCCTTCTTCATGTATTGTTCAGCACCTTCTAGCACAGTGGAAAGACTATTGGACTGGGGACTAGGAGGCCTGATTTCCAGTTCAGTTACTATCTGTCAAACAAGTCGCTTCCCATCTCAGTCTCAATTTCTCTATATTTAAAAAGGATTTGACTTCAAAATCTCTAAGACACGTCCTTCCCAACACTAATATTCTGTGATTCTATAGTACTCCATTTGTTTTTCTCTATTATCAGAAAGTTTACTACTTGCTCCAAACTTCTAAAGGCAAAAAGTGTAAGCAGATGATGAGATTTATTGGAACCTTGCAAACGTGAGGTTGTTCATAGTAGGGACCTAACACACTGTTCCCACACTTCTTCCTCTTGGCTTCCTTCAAGATTCAAAATCCACCTTCTACTGAAGGTCCTTCCTGGTCATCATCCCCCACCTCCCCCCAGCTACTAGTGCCTTCCTTCTGAAAGTACCTATATTTACACTACATCTATATTGTATGTGAGCAGCTAGGTGGCACGGTGGATAAAGCACCAGGTCTAGAATCAGGAAAACTCATCTTCCTGAGTTCAAATCTGGTCTCAGACACTTATTAACTATGTGACCCTGGGCAAGTCACTTAACCCTGTTTGCTTCAATTTCCTCATCTGTAAAATAAGCTGTCATGTGTGCCTAATTATTTGCATATTGTCTCTTCCACCAGATTACAAACTCCCTGAGGGCAGGGACAGTGTTTTTGCCCTTTTCTTTGTATTAAGAGCCTGGCATATAGTAAGGGCTTAATCATTTCTTGTTGACTGACTGACCCATTGACTTCATAAAACCAAAGCTGCTTGAATGCAACCTCCTTGTTTTCCTCACTTTTGTGCTTACTCATGAGATTCAAATCCTATTTAATCATTTCTTGTTGACTGACTGACCCATTGACTTCATAAAACCAAAGCTGCTCGAATGCAACCACCTTGTTTTCCTCACTTTTGTGCTTACTCATGAGATTCAAATCCTATTTACAATTTGGTCATTAGGGAAAACTGGTTATGTTTTTAACTCAAATGATTTATTTAGAAATCTAGAAATGCTTATTTTCAAATCTAGCGAAGAAACATTTTTCAACCATTTGAGAACAGGCTCAAAATCCCAGAAAGCTATAACCGTCATAGATTTTAGAGATCTAGGCCAACACCCTCATTTGTCAGATTAAGAAACTGCCCCCATGACCTTAATTTTCATAACTCAGTGACTATTAATATAAAATATATCAAAACTTGTATATGTTGGCTCCACTGAAGCCTAACTCTGAAGCCCTCCAGGCTGTTTTTTTGTTAGAGTCAAGGTTACTCAATCTGGCACAATTAACACGTGATATTTCATGGATCAATGAGATCCATAAAGCAGTTAAACAGGGTGGTGTAGTCAAGATAGAACTAAATTTGGATTAAGAGGCCTAGATTTAAAATCAAACTGCTAACTACCCACTTCCTCTGCTAGAGCAAAAAAATGCTATGCATATAGTTTCCTTGGATGTTAGCATAGCACTTACCAAGTGCTACCATGACATCCTTTGGACAACATAGAGCAGTGTGAACTATTCAATAGTAAAGTTACATGGGTCCAAAGATATTTCAATGGCTGGATCCAAAGAGGAGTCACGGTTGATCAAGGCAAGCTTGATATCTGCTTGGAAGGGAATCTCTAGAGTGAAATGCTTCAGGGTACTGTACTTGGTCTTTATGTTGTTTAACATTGCCTTCTGTGACTTAGATGAAGGTATAGATGGAAGCCTTCTCAAACCAAATGGCATCCTTCTCAAAGAGATCTCAGTAGGCTAGTGCAGGAGTTCTATGTGGTAGTAGCCAGAGTGGGAATGTGATCTATGACTCCACAGGGAATGTAAACTACCTTCAGTAAATGTAAACAGCAAAAGGCACTCCAAATATCTCATGGGAAAACTTGCAAGTGACCCTGGGCCATCCCTGGAAATACATCTTCTTTGTTCTGCTTCTATATAATATCTGGTTTGACTTGGGGTTGGTGTGGCAATCCACCATTCTGTCCAGCCACCAAGGACTGGGTCTCGTGAGTAAACTCATCTAACCAACTTAATTAACCTAACAAACTCTAAGAAATCTACACTTATACAACCAAGCTGGCATGTGCCCCTCTTTCTTCTGTATCCCAATATTGTCTCTGAGAGTCTGTGTCCCTACAATTGGCACATCAGGGCAGAACAGATCAGCCCCTTTACATTTGGCCTTATAATTTATGTAGCTGGCAGAATAGTCTACCCCCCTATAAATTTTGCGTCCTTATAAGTTCTTAAGATTTTTTGTGTCATGGACCCCTTTGGCAATCTGGTGAAGCCTATGGACCCCTTCTCAGAATCAAGTTTTTAAATAATCAAAGGTAATAATCAATTTCAGTTAAAATTTAATGAAAAATAAAGATGTATGTAATTCTTTTCCATCCAAGTTCACAGACCCCCTGAAATCTAAATAAGCAAGGTGGAACAGTGGATAGAGCACCAGACTTTAAATTAGGAAGACCTAATTTTGAATCCAACCTCAGATACTCCCTAGTTGTGTGGCTCTGGGCAAGTCATTTAACCTCTCTGTAACTCAGTTTCCTCATCTGTAAAATAAGGATAATAATAGCACCTACCTCCCAGGGTTGTTGTGAGCATCAAATGAGATAATAATTGTAAAGTGCTTTGCAAAACTTAATGTGCTATATAAATGATTATGATTATTATTATTATTATACCTATTCTTGGACCCCAGGTTAAGAACTCTTTAGCTAGAATAGTAAGCTAAATATAATAAGATAAAATTGAATTGATATAAATGTAAAATCTTACCTTTGGGTTCAAAAAATCAATTTCACATCTTCAAGATGGGAGATGTGTAGATGGCTGTTCATCTGAAAAAGTTAAAGTTTTTAGAGAATTATAAATTCAGTGTGAGCCAACAATGTGATATGGCAACCCCAAAACATAATGGGATCTTGAGCTTCATTGAAAGGGATATTGTTCAGAAAAGAGAAAGGTGATGGTCCCCCTTGTACTTGTACTGTGTCCTGGTCAGACACCATCAAAATTATTGTGTTCAATTTGGGGCACCTCAGTTTAGGAAGGACATTAACAACCTGGAGAGTGTCCAGAGGAAGGAATCTAAGACAGAGAAGGGCCTTGACATCATGCCAAGAGGCTTAGTTGAAGGAACTGGGGATGTTCTGCCTGGGAAAGAGAAAGTTTAAGGGATGGGGAATTGGGAGGTGAGGACAGGTATATGAAAGCTGTTGGTTTTGATATAGAAAAAGGACTAGCCTTGTCCTTGGGCCCAGAGGGAAGAGCTATGAACATTGGGTGGGAGTTTCAGAGAAACTCAGAGATTTAAGCTCAGTATGAGGGAAATGGGGGGAACTCCTGACAGAGTAATGCAAAAGGAGATCAATAGAAATGTCTTCCTTCCAATGTCTTCAAGCAAAAGTCA